ATATATATATATATATATATATATATATATATATATATATATATATATATATATATATGATTACATATAATTGTATGGGTAATTTTGTAAAATTATATTTTAAATTATATATATAATTATATATGATTATATATAAATAACATGCATGTTATGTATGGACAAATTTCATACATAATTACATATAATAAAATGTAAAATAATATATAATTTTTCATATAATTTTTCATTATTATTTATGAAAAATTTCTCATCAGATGCATAAACTTTAATGTACATTCGTTTGCATAGCGATTTGAACATATGTATTCCGAAGTTAGTTTTCGATGATATTAAATTGTCATGAGTGCGAGTCACTATTCCCAAGTCTGCGCGGTTATTCGTTATAAGATTACTGTCGTTTTGTGCCGAATGAGATATCCGACATCAACATCGTGACTATCTATTTAGAGCACATATACTTTTGTAGGAATATTGAGCTCTTCGCTACTAGAATATTAATTTCATCAATTTCAAGTGCAAAATAACTTTGGGGCAAATATGGTAGGTAACTTGCCTCTATATCGTCTAGTTTCGTGTCTATCAGGGTAGAATAAGCAATTGTCAGTTGAAGCCATAAGAGTCTCAGTAATTTACAATTATTCTTATTACTTAAAATATTTGCAGCTTCTTCTAAAATTTCTGTGCGCCGTTTTCGTAGTAAAAACTGAGTGGCTGTGTCCTTTTCATAGAATGCCATATATTTGTATATATTAGAAATGTATAATCTATTTCGAATAGAAAAGTTCATTTCACTGAGGATGTCAACATGTAGCCTTGAATTGTATAATACGTTCAGAACTTTGGCAAACTGTTTCTGAGCTTCGTTATATTTCAATATGTAAGTAAACGGGACCGCATGGTACATATTGGTGTCGAAATACTCTTCCGCATTTGGATAGAATAATAGTAACCTCCGCGATGCCCGTCCCTCCGATTTTGGTAGCTCTTTAGTTAATGAGTTGTTAGCCTTAGAATCTACGTTTTTTTCTAACCGAAGCAGTCGTTTCACCGATTCACAGAAGAGCATAACACAGTACCTCACGTAGCATATTACAACTGAATTCATCATAGCTACGCATTGGTTAAATAACATGGGTGTTTCCGAAGAAGGTCCCTTTCTCATACTATCAACATATTTTGCATGTAAGACTGTTTGTATTATATATAATTGCTCAATGTAACTTTTAGCTTCTGCGAAACGGTTACACGTGATTAAATTACTGCATACTGTCATTGCTATTTCACACCATTGTGTATATTCCTCAGATGTTTGTAAATAATTCAATTCATCGAGTAAAAGTAAATGACGAGATAGCATAAAACTTTCATTAGTTTTTGATCTCATCTTTGTATGTATATCTGTTGATAATTGTAATAAGTATCTATATAAAGATTTTAATTTTGAAAAACCATTAATTTGTACAGATGGTTTAATAATAATATCTTCATAATCGATAGGAATATCGTACTCGCTATATTCTTCCATATATGTCAAATATAAATTTACAGCTCTATCAAGTGCTTCTGTAGCATTCTCCAGCTTCTTTTGTTTCTGATAAATAAAGCTTAAATTGCCATATGCTTTTAAAGTCAACAAAATAATGTTGGGATCCAGTTCTTTATCTTTTATCAAATGTAAACAGCGTAAAATGGAGTCTTTAGCAGCAGATTGGTTTTCTATCTGATCTGACTTCATGTATGCAAAACATATATGTTGACAAATATATGCAAGAGTTATAACATCTTCAAATTTTGTGTCTTCCGAGTTAACTACTTTATGAAACAATTTGTCCATTTTCACTTCTATTGTTCTGATTTGTTTTTTGTTAAATTTACTTTGATATTTAGAAAATGGGTATGTTAATTTGAAAACTTGCAAAAATTCGTCGCTAGGCTTTATCGTATCTTCAAAACTGCAGGAGCTTTCAATCATCCCCGGTGTCGGAACTAATGCTAAACGAATCAATTGAAATTAAAAGATTATTCCGCACAAGTTGTATGACTTTTGAATATATAATTTTTTTATTACCTGACTCGCATTTTGATTCATCTGTTTTAGTGGACATTTTCTTTCGAGGAATATGTTGATAACGAATTATATAATAAGAAGAGTCTCCTGTCTCTTTGTTGTTAAGATTTGAAATTATTGTTCTTCTTTTAGTTCTTCTTCTTAGATGTAGATAGTCAATTTCGCACCAAACAACAATGGCTATATTCAGCAGAGAAAGCTACTTTATAACTGTTACAAAATTTGTCAGTATGATTACTATATACCTTTAAACTTAATTGAATCTAACAGTATATGCCAATCAGAATTTTACAACAGCAAAGCAGCTTGACATCTGTTATAATTCGTGATATGATCGGTATATGCTTTAGATACAGTCATGATCAGGAATATAGTATTAAATTCATGAATTTTACAAATTACTGTAAAGTTACTGTAAGTAATTTTACAAAGCAACTGTCTCTGGCGAAGAAACTTTCCTCTGAACACAACCGATATCTCGATATAATTGAGTGTTTTCCAACAAGGGACACAGAGGACTCGGTGTAAATGTGTTCAACACAGAATGTTTCATCAATGATACAATGTTATGGCTCTGATGTCTGTATCATATTATAGATTGGAAACAGAGGATTGTGAATTGAAGATTATAACTTGACCAAATAGAACAAAGTAAGCCAAAACTGAAATTGCGGATTCGTCAAAACTTAATCTTTAATCCGCAATCTCCAATCTGTAGTCTAATATAAGCTTTACACGCAGTACACAGCAGCTCTCGATAGAGCGACGAAATAGCCAATCAACGTACCATTTTTCTATAAAAACTAGAAGTTTTTCAAGTTGCTTATTTTATGAAACAGTTTGTTCATCCTAGTTTCTATTGTTTTGATTTTCGTGTTCCTTAATTCTCTTCGATTTCTACAAAATTTAAATAACATTCCGTAAATTTGAAGGAATTGTTTACTGAGTTTTAATATGACTTCGAGACTCCTAAAGCTCTCGATCAGCTCTGTATTCGTAACAAATCAATATTAAAGGATTATTCTGTATGTGTTGCATTATTATTGAACATATGTTCGACATAATATATTATAACAACAACTTTCAACGTAATATACTTTTTTATTACCTGACTCGCATTTTGTTTTGCCTGTGCTTCTAATATACATCTTTTTCAAGTATAATGTTGACAATAGATTTTAATAAGAATTTATTGCGTTTGTGAAGTTCTATAATAATTGTTGGTGCTTTCCTTCTTATGTATATTTATAATCTATTCGGGCTCCGTAATAAACGCTAATATCTCGAAATTGCTGTTATACATAGTAACCATATTCAATTAGATTCTTACGTTATTGGTAAGCGAGAGATTTCCAAGAATATCCTCAGTCAATAATCTATTTTATATTCAATCATATTCCACGTTTTCAGCAGCCTAATATCAGTCTATTTATAACAGTCGTTTAGGTTTACATGTGAAGATAAAATTGCGAATGATGCAATTAATATTTGTCTGGATATTTGGAAATATAAGGTTGCCTAACATATCATTGAATTTACATTAACTCAAATGCAAGGGAAATAAGCAAATCGCAAACATAACAAAAAATTATTATCCTAATTAGTTAAGAGGAAAAAATGAAATTACTAAAATAAACAATTGTACATTATTGTTATCGGTAATTGGAACGAAAATAAATTGAAGTCAAATTTTAATTATAAGTCAAGGGAGTGTGTGCGAACGGTAAAAAAAGAAGAATAATAAAGAAAGAGAAGATAAGTAGAGAACAAGGCAGACCAAAATTAGAAGGAGAACTTAGAGAAGAAAATATAAGATAATATATCAGTAAAATGCTCTGAAGCATTCTATATATTTTTTTATTTGCGCTTAATCTTTAATGTTTTTTACATTTTCATTGTCCATATACATATAAAATCTTATGTTCTCTTATAAATGATGCAAAATCATGCAACGTTTGTCGAAGTGCGCAGTTTTACAAGTTTGTTATTAGTTATAAAAATGAGTAGACCGAAATAAATCAAAACTGTTGAAAAGAATTTGGTCTATTGTCAAATTCATTATCATAATTATCAATTAAGATTCCATATACAAAATTAAATTTATTAAGACCACCTTAAATAATTCGACAATTACCTTCGATAAAAAATTATCCATGCATAATTATATATAAAATTTATCCATACATAGTTATGTACAATTATATATAATTATATTAAACATTAAATTATACACAATTATATATAATTAAACACAATTAATCATAATTGATCATATATATGATTACACATATATGATTATCATTATATATATGATTACATATAATTGTATGGGTAATTGTGTAAAATTATATATGAAATTATACATATATATAATTATATATGATTATATATAAATAACATGCTTGTTATGTATGGACAAATTTCATATATGATTATATATAATAATGTAAAATTATATATAATTTTATGTAATTTTACTTAATTATTTATGAAAAATTTCTCATCAGATGCACAAACTTTAATGTACATTCGTTTGCATAACGATATTAACATATCTTTTCCGAAGTTAGTTTTCGATGATACTAAATTGTCATGAGTGCGAGTCACAATTCGCAAGTCTGCATGGTAATTCGTTATAACATTACTGTCATTTTGTGCCGAATGAGATATCCGACATCACCGTCGTGACTATCTATTTAAAGTACGTATACTTTCGTAGGAATATTAAGCTCTTCGCTACTAGAATGTTAATTTCATCAATAAGTGCAAAATATCTTTGGGGCAAATATATGGTAGGTAACTTGCCTCTATATCTTCTAGTTTCATGTCCACTAGGACAGAACAAACAATTGTCAGTTGAAGCCATAAGTGTCTTAGTAATTTACAATCATTCTTATCTCCTAATATTTGCAGCTACTTCTAAAGTTTCTACACGCTGTTTTTGTAGTAAAAACTGAGTGGCTGTGTCATTTTCATAGAATACCATATATTTGTACACGTTAAAAATGTATAATCTATATCGAATACATAAGTTTACATCTCCGACGAAGTCAACATGTAGCCCTGAATCGTAAATCACGTTCAGAATATTGATAAACTGTTTCTGAGCTTCATTATATTTCAATATGTACGTAATCGGCATCAAATGGTACGTATTGGTGTCGTAATACGCTTTCTTATTTGGAGCGAACATTAGTAATCTTCGCGATGCCCGCCCTTGCAATTCTGATATGAAATTATGATGAGTCACTAATCTTAAGTCCGCGCGGTAATTCAATCTAACATTATTGTAATTTTGTGCCGAATGAAATATCTTACATTACCCCGATGTCTATTTATAATACATGTACTAAATTATCTATTTATAATACATATACTTTTGTAGGAATATTAAGCTCTTTGATACTAGAACGTTAATTTCACCAACAAATGTATCATGTCTTTGGGATAAATATGATAGGGAAGCTGCTTCTATATCTTCTAGTTTCATGTCTATCAGGGTAGAATAAGCAATTGTCAGTTGAAGCCATAAGAATCTCAGTAATTTAACATCATTCGTATTTCTAATAATATTTGCACTTGTCTCTAAAATTTCTGCGCGCCGTTTTCGTAGTAAAAACTGAGTGGCTGTGTCCTTTTCATAAAATGCCATATATTTGTACATGTTAGAAACGTATAATTTAGTTTGAATACAAAAGTTTACCTCCTCGACGAAGTGAAGATGTAGCCCTGAATTGTAAATCACGTTCAGAATTTTGACAAACTGTTTCTGAGCTTCGTTATATTTCAATATGTAAGTAAACGGGATCGCATGGTACGAATTGGTGTTGAAATATTCTTCCACATTTTGATAGAATAATAGTAACCTCCGTGATGCCCGTCCCTCCGATTTTGATAGCTTTTTAGTTATTGAGATGTTAGTCTTAGAATCTATGTTTTTTTCTAACCGTAGCAGTCGTTTCACCGACTGACAGATGAGCGTAGCAGCATATCTCAGGTAGCATAACATAATTAACTTCATCATAGTTATGTATTGTGTAAATATTATGGATGTTTTAGAAGAAAGTCCCTTTTTTTTACTATCAACATATTTTGTATATAAAGCTGCTTGTACAACATATGATTGCTCAATGTAATTTTTAGCTTCTGCGAAACGGTTACACGTGATTAAATTACTGCATACTGACATTGCCATTTCAATCCATTGTATACAATTCTCAGGTGTTTGTAAATAATTCAATTCATCGACTAAAATTAAATGACGACATAGCATAAAACTTTCACTAGTTTTTGATCTCATCTTTATATGTATATCTGTTGATGTTTGTAAAATGTTTCTATATAAAGATTTTAATTTTAAAAAACCATTTATTTGTACAGATGGTTTAATAATAATATCTTCATAATCGATAGGAATATCGTGCTCGTTATATTCTTCCATATATATCAAATATAAATCTCTGGCGTTATCAAGTATTTCTATAGCATTCTCCAACTTCTTTTGGTTATGATAAATATGGCTTAAAAGGTTATATGCTTTTAAAGTCACCAAAATAATTTTGGAATCCACCTGTTTATCTTTTAGCAAATGAAAACAGCGCAGAATGGAATCTTTAGCAGCAGATAGATTTTTTGTCTGATCTGACTTTATGTATGCAAAACATAAATATTGGCAACTATATGCAAGAGTTACAATATCTTCAAATTTTGTGTCTTGCGAGTTAATTACTTTATGAAATAATTTGTCCATTTTTATTTCTATTGTCCTGATTTGTTTTTTGCTAAAGTTACTTTGATCTTTAGAAAATGAGAGTGTTAATTTGAAAACTTGCAAAAATTCGTCACTAGGTTTTATCGTATCTTCCAAATTGCAGGAACTTTCAACTACTTCCGTTGCTGCAAATAACGTTAACGAATCAATTGAAATAAAAAGATTATTCCGCGCGTGTTGCATGAGTTCTGAATATATCATTTCTTTATTACCTGACTCGCATTTTGATTCATCTGTTTTGGTGGACATTTTCTTTCGAGGAATATGTTGCTAACGAATTATATAATAAGAAGAGTCTCCTGTCCTCTTGTTGTTAAGATTTGAAATTATTGTCCTTCGTTTACTTCTTCTTTTTCTTAGACATATATAGTCAATTTCGCACCAAACAACAATAACTATATTCAGCAGAGGAAGCTACTTTGTAACTGTTACAAAACTCGTCAGTATGATTACTATATATCTTTAAACTTGGTTGAATCTAACAGTATATGCCTATCAGAATTTTACAACAGCAAAGCAGCTTGACATCTGTTATAATTCGTGACATGATTGGTATATGCTTATATTTAAAAAACAATTCGTAAATTTAAAGGAATTATTTACTGAGTTTTAATATGATTTCGAGACTCCTAAAGCTCTCGATCAGCTCTGTATTCGTAACTAAATAAATCAATATTAGAAGATTATTCTGTATGTGTTGCATCATTGTTGAATATATGTTCATAAATATTTATGTTCAACATAATATATTATAACAACAACATTGAATATAATATATTTGTTTATTTCCTAACTCGCATTTTGTTTTGCCTGTGCTTCTAGTAGACATCTTTTTCTAATATAATGTTGACAATAGATTTTAATAAGAATTTATTGTGTTTGTGACGTTCTGTAATTATTGTTGGTGCTTTCCTTCTTATGTGTATTTATAAACTGTTTGGGCTCCGTAATAAACGCTAATATCTCGAAATAGCTGTTATACGTACTAACTATATTCAATTAGATACTTATGTCATTGGTAAGCGAGAGATTTCCAAGAATATCCTCGGTTAATAATCTATTTTATATTCAATCATATTCCACGTTTTCAGCAGCCTAATACCAGTCTATTTATAACTGTCGTTACGTTACATGTAAAGATATAATTGCGAAAGGTGCAATTAATATTTATCTGGATATTTGGAAATAGAAGATTGCCTAACATACCATTGAATTTATATTGATTCAAAGGCAAGGGAAATAAGCAAATTGCAAGCATAATGAAAAATTATTATCCTAGTTAGTTAAGATGAAGAAATAAAATTACTAAAATAAACAATTGTGCACTATTGTTATCGGTAATTGAAACGAAAATAATTTGAAGTAAAATTTCAATTATAAGTCAAGAGAGTGTGTGTGAACGGTACAAAAGAAGAAGCGATAGAGAAAGAGAAAAAAAGTAGGACAAGGCAGACAAAAATTAGGAGAACTTAGAGAAGAAGATATAAGATACTATGTTAGTAAGATGCTCTGATGCATTGTATATTTTATTTTATTTGCGCCTAAATTTTTAACGTTTTTTACACTTTTCATTGTCCGTATACGCATAAAATCTCCTGTTCTCTTATAAGTTACGCAAAATGATGCAAAGTTTGTCGAAGTGCGCACTTTTATAGGTATGTTATTAGTTATAAAAAGGAGTAGACCGAAAGAAATTAAAATTGTTGGAAAGAATTTGGTCTATTGTCAAATTCATTATTTATCGTAATTATCAATTAAGATTCTATATACAAAATTAAATTTATTAAGATCACCTTTAATAATTCGGCAATTTCAACGATAATTGCCCCCGATGAAAAATTTTCCATGCATAATTATATATAAAATTTGTCCATACATAGTTATGTACAATTATATATAATCATATTAAATTATACATAATTATATATAATTAAGCACAATTATGCTTAATTATATGTATAATTACATACAAATAATTTTATAAAATTTTACATAATTGTATGAAAAATTTTTTATTGGGTGTATAAACTTTAATGTATACTCGTTTGCATAGCGGTTTGAACACATCTTTTCCGAAGTTAATTTTTGATGATATTAAATTGTCATGAGTGCTAGTCACTATTCCCAAGTCTGCGCGGTTATTCGTTATAAGATTACTGTCATTTTGTGCCGAATGAGATATCCGACATCAACATCGTGACTATCTATTTAGAACACATATACTTTTGTAGGAATATTGAGCTCTTCGCTACTAGAATATTAATTTCATCAATTTCAAGTGCAAAATAACTTTGGGGCAAATATGGTAGGTAACTTGCCTCTATATCGTCTAGTTTCATGTCTATCAGGGTAGAATAAGCAATTGACAGTTGAAGCCATAAGAGTCTCAGTAATTTACAATCATTCCTATCTCCTAAAACATTTGCAACTTCTTCTAAAGTTTCTGCGCCCCCTTTCCGTAGTAAAAACTGAGTGGCTGTGTCCTTTTCATAGAATGCCATATATTTGTATGCGTTAGAAATGTATAATCTACATCGAATACATAATTTTACATCCCCGACGAAGTTAAGGTGTAGCTTTGAATTGTAAATTATCCTCACAATATCGATAAACTGTTTCAGAGCTTCGTTATATTTTAGTATGTACGCAAACCGGGTCGCATGGTACGTATTGTCGAAATTCTCTTTCATATCTGGATAGAATATTAATAATCTCCGTGATGCCCGCCCCACCGATTTTAGCTCTTTAATTATTGAGTTGTCAGCCTCAGAATGTTGGTTTGTTTCTAACCGTAGCAGTCGTTTCACCGACTGATAGAAAAGCGTAATATTGTTCCTCACGTAACACGATATAACTAACTTGAACGTAAATGCGCTTTGGTTTAATAACATGGATGTTTGCGAAGGAAGTCCCTTTTCCAAAGTATCAAAATATTTTGCATGTAAAGCTTTTTGTATAAAATATAATTTCTCAAGGTAATTTTTAGCTTCTGCGAAACGGTTACCCATGATTAAGTAATTGCATACTGTCGTTGCTTTTTCAATCCACTGTACATATTCTTCAGTTGTTAGTAAACAATTCAATTTTTCGATTAAAAGTAAATGACGAGATAGCATAAAACTTTCATTAGCTTTTGATTTCATCTTTAAATGTATATCTGTTGATGTTTGTAAAATGTGCATATATAAACATTTTAATTTTATATAACCATTTATTTGTTCAGATGGTTTAATAATAATATCTTCATAATCGATAGGAATATCGTACTTGCTATGTTCTTCCATATATATCAAATATAAATCTATAGCTTTATCAAGTGCTTCTATAGCATTCTCCAGCTTCTGTTGTTTCTGATAAATATGGCTTAAAAGGTTATATGCTTTTAAAGTCAGCAAAATAATTTTTGGATCCACCTCTTTATCTTTTATGAAATGTAAACAGCGCAGAATGGAATCTTTAGCAGCAGATAGCTTTTTTGTCTGATCTGACTTTATGTATGCAAAACATAAATGATGACAACTATATGCAAGTGTTATAATATCTTCAAATTTTGTGTCTTGCGAGTTAATTACTTTAAGAAATAATTTGTCCATTTTTATTTCTATTGTCCTCATTTGTTTTTTAAAGTTACTTTGATCTTTACATGAGCGTGTTAATTTGAAAACTTGCAAAAATTCGTCACTAGGTTTTATCGTATCTTCAAAATTGCTAGAACTTTCAACTACTTCCATTACTGCAAATAACGTTAACGAATCAATTGAAATTAAAAGATTATTCCGCGCGTATTGCATGACTTTTGAATATATCATTTTTTATTACCTGACAAGCATTTTAATTTGTATGTAGTTCTAGTGGACATTTTCTTTCGAGGAATATATCGATAACGAATTATATAATAAGAAGAGTTTCCTGTCTCCTTGTTGTCAAGTTTTGAAATTATTGTTCTCCTTCCAGTTCTTCTTCTCAGACATAGATATAGTCAGTTTCACACCAAACAACAATGGCTACATTCAGCAGAGAAAGCTATTTTGTAACTGTTATAAAATTCGTCAGTACGATTACTATATTCTTTTCAACTTGGTTGAATCTAACAGTATATGCCAATCAGATTTACGAATTTTACAACAGGAAAGCAGCTTGAGAACTGTTTTAATGTGCGTGAATCTGATTGGTATATGCTCTTAGGTACAGTCATTATCAAAAGAATGGTGTCATGAATTTTACAAGTTACAAATCAACTTTCTCTGGCGAAGGATCTTTTCTCTAAACACAATCGACATCTCGATATAATTGAGTGTTTTCCAACAAGAGACACAGAGAACTCGGTGTAAATTAGTGTTTGAAAGTATCGATATGACTATGGATACGTATCGGTATACCTCTGGGATCGATACGTATCGGGATGTCTCTGGCATCGATACGTATGGATAATTGTATCGACGTTTTCGAACACTAGTGTAAATATTCAACACAGAATGTTTCATCAATAATACAGTGTTATGGCTCTTATGTCTGTATCATATTATAGATTGGAAACTGAGGATTGTGGATTGAAGAATGGAACATGATTAAATAGAACAAAGTAAGCTAAAATCGAAATTGCTGATTCGTAAAAATTTAATCTTCAATCCGCAATCCTCAATTTCCAATCTTTAGCCTAATATAAGTTTTATACGCAGTACGAGAACAGAAGCTCTCGATGAAGCGACGCAGTAGCTAAAAACTACCATTTTTTTATGATAACTAGAAATTTTTCAGGTTAATTATTTTATGAAATAGATTACTCATCCTAGTTTCTATTGTTTTGCGTGTTGCTAAATTCTCTTTGATTTCTAATTTTTCGATTCGAATCTTCGATTTCAAAAATTTAAGTCACAATCCGTAAATTTAACGGAATTGTTTATTAGGTTTTAATATGGTTTGAAGACTAAAGCTTTTGATCGTAACTAAACAAATCAATATTGGAAGATTATTCTATGTTATGGGTTGCATCATTGTTGAACATATATTTATACATATACAACATGCCAAGTCTTGGCACACCATATTCAAAAATGTGACATTTTTTTTGCAGTTCTGATACTCTCTTGAAAAGTTCTAGAGCTCTTTGCAACAATTTTC